GTGCATGTGGTCGGCTGATGACAGTTGCAGTGGTATGAGAGTGTGTGTATGCGTGTGTCGTATGAGAGTGTTGTATGCGTGTGTCGTGTGAGTGTTGTATGCGTGTGTCGTATGTGTGTGTCGTATGAGAGTGTTGCATGCGTGTGTCGTATGAGAGTGATGTATGCGTGTGTCGTATGAGTGTCGTATGCGTGTGTCGTATGAGAGTGTTGTACGCGTGTGTCGTATGAGAGTGTTGTATGCGTGTATCGTATGAGAGTGTTGTATGCGTGTGTCGTATGAGAGTGTTGTATGAGTGTGTCGTATGAGAGTGTTGTATGAGTGTATCGTATAAGAGTGTTGTATACGTGTGTCGTTTGAGAGTGTTGTATGCGTGTGTCGTATGAGAGTGTTGTATGCGTGTGTCGTATTAGAGTGTTGTATGAGAGTGTCATATGAGAGTGTTGTATGCGTGTGTCATATGAGAGTGTTGTATGCGTGTGTCGTATGAGAGTGTTGTATGAGTGTGTCGTATGCGTGAGTTTGATGCGTGTGTCGTATCATTGTCCATGCCTAAATTAAACTACTTAGCTGTCTTCGTACTGTGCACATGCGGGTGCTTGGCTAACTCGTTGTTTTCCTTCTGCGTTGCGCTTCTGTTTCCTTCGGTTGGTTTCCTTCTGCGCGTGTGGCTGTGGACGGTCTTAGGATTCCGCAGTACCTGACAGGGGATGGCCTACGCATGACGCAGATCATGAACAACCTAGTGTCCAATGCCTGCAAGTTCACGGATAGTAAGTTCTATTTATAGGTCTCTAAACATAAGTTGTATGATTATGTTAAGGAATTGTAGCTGTCAATGCCTGCAAGTTCACGGAGAGTAAGTTCTATTTATAGGTCTCTAAACATAAGTTATATGATTATGTTAAGGAAATGTAACCGTCCAATGCCTGCAAATTCACGGATAGTAAGTTCTATTTGTAGGTCTCTAAACATAAGTTGTATGATTTTGTTAAGGAATTGTAGCTGTGTCTCTAAACATAGGTTGTATGATTTTTTTAAGGTAATGTAACTGTCCAATGCCTGCAAGTTCACGAATAGTAAGTTCTATTTATAGGTCTCTAAACATAAGTTGTATGCTTATGTTTAGGAAATGTAATTGTCTAATGTCTGCAAGTTCACGGATAGTAAGTTCTATTTGTAGGTCTGTAAGAATAAGTTGTGTGATTATGTTAAGGAAATGTAGGTATCTAATGCTTGCAAGTCCATTGATTGTAGGTTCTATTTATAGATTTATATATTACGAAATAAGTAGTATTTTTATGTTTAGAATATGTAGGTGCCCAATACCTGCAAGTTCACGGATAGTAAGTTCTATTTATAGATTTATAGATTTTGGAAACAAGTTGTATGTTTATGTTAAGAGCATGCAGGTGTCCGTTCACGGATAGTAACTTCTATTTATAGATCAAAAAATAAGCTGCATGTATCTGTTCGGAACATGTTTGTGCCCAATGACTGCAAAATTGCTGAACATAAATTATATGATCTGTGGAGGACTGTTTATATGATGAAGTTAATCGTACATATCTAAGAACATGCTGCCTCACATGCACTGACCTGCTGTTACACTTTCAGATAGTTTGTTGTTCGACGTTTAGATACTTTGTTTTTTCACGTTTAGATAGTGTGCTGTTAGTCGTTTAGATACTTTGTTGTTACACATTTAGATAATTTGTTGTTACACGTTTAGTTAGTGTTCTGTTAGACGTTTAGATAGCCGGTTGTTCATACGTTGTATCTGTCAAGTATGGCCCAATCATCCACTCCTCCTGTCACATCTCCTTTGTGTTAGGGTCTAGGGTTGTGTGGTTCCACGGTTCGGTCGAATAGACTAGCACAGCAGCAACAACTATTACCGCCACAGCTCTCTCCGCACCCACCACCCGCTCTTTCCAACACGCATCAATCACGCACGTAAACATACACAGAAATCTATATTGCTTCTGTACGGTTTATTCTTACTTGCACGTACACAGAAGTCCATGTTACTTCTGTACGTATGTTTATTCTTACTTGCACACATTGATTGTGTACTTAAACCCCTGCAATCACACACACTCATGCACACGACACCCACAGCCGGCTATGTCATACTCTCTGCTAAACTGCTCGAGAGTGTGCGTGACGGCAAAGCAACCATCCAGGTGTCATGTCAAGACACGGGCATAGGCCTCACCCCCGAGCAGATGGAGAAGGTCTTCGATGCGCTGTACCAGGTGCGTGTGTGGAGTGCAATTCAACCAGGAGTTGTACGTTGTTAGTATTGTTTAGTATTAGTACACTGTTAGTATAGTTTAGGATTAGTACACTGTTAGTATGGTTTAGGATTAGTATACTGTTAGTATGGTTTGGCACAGGGTTAGTCCAGGGCTGGGGGTTGTTTCTTGGTGTTGCACCAGATGTGTGTTATTTCTTGAGTGTGGTGTGTTTTGTCCGCCACATTTGTGCTGTCTAATGCATTTCTGCTGTGGAGTGCGTTTGTAACGTTTTACAGTTTTTAAGTTTTAAGGTTTGTTTGGGTTTTTTTTAGGTTTTAGGGCTTCAGGGTTTAGCGAGTGCCGTTTTAATGTGTTGTGTTTGCGTGATGTGGTGCTGGGTGTGCGCATGGTGTGGGTGTGATTCCGGCGCCTTGGCACTAAACTGTGGTTCGTGTGTGCGTGTGTGTGCATTGTCAGCTGTCTTCGAGTTCAACAGGCATATACCACTTGCCTATAGAACAAACAAACTTAACCTTAGTTGCCGTGTCGTAGGCTTTGCCAAACCCCTCTAAAACAGACATCAAACAGACATCAGCAGCCAACCCAAGTTTTGTGGGGAGTGTCGTTTGCTTGTTTCCGGGCAATTCTCGAGCAATATATATATATATATATATATATATGTGTGTGTGTGTGTGTGTGTGTGTGTATATATATATATATATATATTGTGTGTGTGTGTGTGTGTGTGTGTGTGTGTGTGTGTGTGTA